ATAGGGAACCCATGTAAAGGATGAAGGGCACTTCACAAAATACAATTGGGTGAATTCCGTCCAGTACTAAAAAAAATATTTATTTTTACTGCAGTTCACAATATATGATAGTTCACAAGTTGATAAGTGCCCAGTGCGTAACAGTGCTAAACATTACTAAAACAGCGCTACCGGAAATATTCAAATGTCTTACCATCCTTTATGTTGTTTTTGTACATCCTTAAAACCTATGTTTTTGTGCATATTATTTTCTATGTGCCCTCATTATTTACTCATGCATTGAACTTTTAAGATCCTTACAGGCATCTCTTATCATGCACCTCAAAGTGCTGACCTGCTTTGAACGGGTGCAGGCAAAACACTGGCATTTTACACAAAGAAGGAAGACATATGTAGTTTTACAAATGACATTTGCCATCAGAGGTTTGTACAGCTTTCCTTTAAAGCTGACTTTGTACTTAGACTGAGATATTATTGGGAGTATTTTTAGGCAAAATAAAGAATTGCTGAGTTATTCCAGCATCTTGAAAGATTGCATCTATTGGGATATTCAAAAAAATAGGTGCTAAGTACTATATGATTAGCCCCCAAAATACATAGGTATATATGCACATGTACTACTTCAGTGTTGTTTACACCAGTATTAGAATTTTAAGGTAGAAATCTGCCCACACCATTAACCAAAAAATTGTCAGGCAACATTTGATTCCACAGAAAAAGCTCCAAAGGCTTTGGATAGAATGTTTAGCTTGATTTGGCTCATAAAATGTATCAGGTTCTTATTTGGTATTATATAAAGTTGAGATAGAAGAAAAATATTTAACGATACATTCATCTCCTCCCACCCAGGAGTTCTGTAAAGAACTTGTTAGATTGCATTTTACACAGTGTTTCCAGATATGCAGCCTAACAGCCAAATTAATTAAACTGATTAATAAAATAGGCCAAACAATGTGTCTCAGAACCATGAAATGCATTATTATTCTTTCAATTGTAGAGTTTAATATCTTAGGGGTATTTTGTGTACTCTCGAAATTCTCATGAGCTTTTTCAGAAGGAAAAAATGAGCTTTGTAGGAGTTTTGAAAAGAAAATTGCAGCTGTTCACCCTGCTTCTCCCCAGCTAAAAGACCTGCTGTTTAGTTTAACATAACTCCAGGAGCGAGAGACACATTGGTAAGCAGAGAGTGGAGTGGGAGTACTGTATAACTCAACAGAAAAACACTTTGTTCAGCCGAACCCAGAAGAGTTTCTTTTTTTTTAAGCTGTTGTGTACATCATTTACCAATAACCCTTGTGCAGCGTATGTTTGAATGAAATACTTTTTAATTTGGCCAATATGTTGTACAGAAAAAGAAACAATTACATGAAAGCTTTTTCAGTTCACAACTTGGAATGCTTTAATGTTTTCCCATTAAAATTGGCTAATAAAAAAATGTATGCATCTTGTGTATAACACCATACGTTTGGCCGGGCCTAAAGTCCAAATTGCTGTGTGAATGAATATGACCATCTTTTGTGGTAGGGTCGGTGCTTGGTGATTGGTCCAGCACTGTCACATGGGGACTAGACAAGAGTCTTAAGCTCTGTGTAAACTCCAACTAGAGTGATTTGGAGCTTTCCTTGGTTCCGGCAGCTGAAAGTGGGGTTTCGGAGAGCAGGAAAGGTTAGTATATGCTGATAAGGATGGTGGCATTAAAGTGAACCTGTTGTTTTGCCCTGTATGGCCAAAGCATGCTTTCCTTTAAGTTGTGATTTTTAATTTCATATTTTTTTAACATTACCTTTCTATTTCAATCTGTGCCCAGCTATGATTTTCTATAATGACCAAACAATTCAAATGTTGCTTCCTTTAATTTTGTAAAGCCTGGGGGCATTCTTTACATTTTTATTAAGAACACCTCCAGAAATTTACAGTTGCTTTTTCCAGCACTTTTATTATTTATTAGAAAACACTGGGATTGATCATGTGTTTATATCTAGAAGTTCATTCTTCTTATCACTCCTACTTCCTTCAGTTTGAGTAATGCTGCGGCTGCTGCATATAATAGCCAGCAGTGGAGACTACTGCATCCACAGAAAATCTAGCCATGTATGGCTAGCCCTAGATGAAATGTTATCTCTCTATCTCTCTAACTACAGAATGGAAGCAAGCAAAGAAACCCAAATCAATTAAGCAAAACATGTTCTCTCTCTCTCTCTCTCTCTCTCTCTCTCTCTTTCTCTCTCTCCCTCTCTCCCTCTCTCTCTCT